CCTATGAAGAAGAGTTTAAATACTCCTTTTTATTAGATTTGGGTCGTCCGTTCGAAACGACGTGGCCCATCCGTAGTTGTTGGATCTCTTTTATTTGGAAAATTAATCTGGACCACATGATCTGATCAATCCAACTGTTCGATCGTGCCTAAGGAGAAAATTCATCTGGGTCGTGCGTGCGTGCGGGATGTGATCTGGGCCGTCGGATTTGCTGGCACGCGAATCGCACGTGTGGCCTCCCGTGTGGAACCAATGTCAGTGTTTCCGCCATGTGGCACATTCTAACTCGCCGTTGCTGCTGACTTAGTGTGGCCGTATTTTACCTTTTTGTGATTGAACCCCCTGTTTTAAATCTCTTTCAAACACATATTTACAATTTCACTCCTTTTTTTCAAAATTGATTTCAAACTCATTCCCAAATTCATATTTTCTAAAAATTTCATTAAAATAATAATAAAATTATTTTTGTTATACTTTCTTTCATTAATATTAAATTATTCATGACCAAATTTCGGGGCCAAGTGTTATAATAATGGATCTGAAATGTGGTAAGTAAGTAGCTGTGATTCAAATAAAAAAAATGATTTTTGCTTCTTAAAATCTAAAAAATATGTTTCTTTAAGAAACTTTTATATGCATAAATATTACAAAAAATTTTGTCACATCCATAATGACAAATATTTTTTTACTATTTTAAGCAACATGTTCTGTGCAATAAATGAATCATTATATCACATCTTTCACTATATAACCAAAAGAAATAATGTATAGTGAAGATATCATCACATCACATTTTTCGTGTTAAAAAATAATGTTATCTTTTAAATTATTTCAGTCACAAACTTCATGTTAATGATATTTTCATATAAAACCTTATATTCAAAAAATTAATATGAAATCATATAAAATAATTTAAAACCTTGTTTTTGTTGGTCTTAATTTTTTACTTACCTTTGAGCAATTTGTCTAGTATTCTTTTGATCTTATTGATTCATTCATTATTTTTCAAATATATTTTCAAAATCTTTATGTTTATTGATATTCTTTCAAGAACTTGCTAAATCAATACTTCAAAAATTAATAAGTAATTGTTAAGAAAAATTAAATACTGCAATTCATCAAAATAAATGTTTATTTTTCAGCATATATTTTTGAAATAAATTTTCTCATAAATTTTATTAAAAAAGTTGAATAAAAAATTGTCAAGTCTATTTGTATTTTATTTAAACATCGGCATAATTCAATAAAAACTAACTATTGACCTACTTGTCCATAAAACTACAATTTTTGAAGCTATAATGGTAGTATATATTTTTATAAGAGACAACACTTAAGTATTTGATGTTTTGAGATAAAATAATAATTTTCAGTATAATTATGTATGTATTTATAAAAGAATTTTTGACATTGTCAAAACAAATATGATTAAAATAATGAACTATTGAAAACATGTAAATTATTAGTTAAAAATAAATAATTAAGTTCTGACAATAAAAAGATAAATAGTTGTTTTATCATAAAAAAATTAATAAAAAATATATTTGTTCTAAATATTCTAATACTGGAAAAAGATAAATAGTTGTTTTTTTATTAAAAAAATTAAAAGAAACTTATTCTATTTTACATATATTTATTAATTTAAAAATATGTTAAGACAATAATCAAATAAATTATTTTAGTAAAAACAAGATTATAAAAGGTTGTGATTATGATTCCAGGATAAAAATTGTGATCATAAATAATTTCTTTTCTACATTCTTAAAACTATTGTTAAACCCAAAAACCATGTATTTTTAATATCCCAATTAGGCATATAAACTAAAGTTGTTGAAACTGTTATATTCACAAAATAACCATCACGGACTCCTCTTAAAACACAATTGCTAATGTAACATTCTCAAAATTGACGACAACATACAAGATATTTTAGAAAATTTTGGTAAAAAATATATATATATAAATTAATAAATAAATAGTTAGTAAATTTTTTTTAAAAAAATGAACCCTAAAAAAAAAAGAGGGGCAACGTGAGAGATGTGGCAGAGGAGAAAAGGAGAGAGAGAGAGGATAAAGAAAAAGAAGAAGATTTGTGTGTGAAGCAGAAGAGGGTCGGGTCCGCGACATAACCAGAACGCACCACATGATTAGCCCTATACGAATGGTAGAGAGAAAGCCAATAAAAGCAACGGTGCAATCAGGCGTGCAGTGGAAGAGAGGAACCAACACGATAAGCTTCACTCTAGGTACGTGCAGCATAGCGTTGGGAAGACAAATCCGCCCACTGGGAGACAGATTTGCTTTTAATGCATGGCATGGCAGATCTACATGCAATCCTTCCAAATATGTATACGACGCAACCTCGACTTGCCTCTCATGTTCGTTCTGACGAGTGCAAAAAGTTTCCATGACATTTTTTATCAATGCACGATAGCACGTGATGGTTTTGGTAAGGGTGCGTGCAACGGTGCATGTTGATCTAGGTAGTGGCGTGTGTGACAACCCGTGGCGACTTTGATGACACGCGTGTGGCAGCATGTGTGTTACCACGTGGTAACTCAAGCGATCAGACGTGTTTAAGGTAAAAGTTAATTCCTTATTTCATATTATTTCATTTCTATAATTACTCACCATTTAATACGCATATTTTTTGTTTTTAAACGAGAAAACTAGTTGAACAGTAACCAAATTTAGAGAAGACCATAAACCGAACCTAGTGGGGATCTTGATACCTTTTTTAATCAAATGTCGAGTGAGGATACTCTATCCTCTAAACCTTGACCTTAAAAGACTAACTTATGAATGTTTTGACAAAAGAAAATATAATTTTATACAGGTGTCAATAGATATATAAAAGTGTTCGTTTATTTTATTTTGATTTTGATTTTCATATTTTTTTTATTATTCATTACATACTACTCTTTTATTTTATTATTGTTTTATTTTATTTTTGATTTAGAATGAATATTCATTATGTAACAGTTTATCAAGAAGTATGTATATTTTGTTAGAGCGTCGATGTAGACATGTGGGTAGTGTAAGGGGGAAATAGGAAGAAGCTGTGTGCATGAGTTATAAACTGTGTAGGCGGGTACGGGTGGTCAAGTGTTACTGTATGGGTGTGATAGTGGCTAACATATGTATAGGTGGCTGAAGATAAAAGAAATTAGGATTTGTAATTAGATTGGTTATTTTAAGTAAATATTGATTTTAAGTTTCTGGGTAAGGGAAGACTAGCAAATGTGAAGATAATTAGACAATTTGGAGTTGAATTACGAGAATTATATGTAAGGAATGAATTATTTAAAGAAAGAAATTTATGAATGCAATAAATATTAGAATTTAATCATATATGCCTTAGAGACCAGAATGAAAAGAAACATATAAGAAAATTTAATAAACCCTGGAGTTGTGAAGATAGAAAAAAGAGTCGTCAAACAACAAATAAAATTTAGGAAGAAGACAATGTGCAAAACTAATTGTATAGATAAAATTTAGCACTATGGGGTTAGAAAATTAGTAAACTAGTAAAGGAAAGATGAAAGTTAAAATAGAACTGCAACATAAAAATAAGAATTGAAGGGATTGAGTAAATAACTTGAAGAAGTAAAGAAGCAAAGAATTCAAAGTAAGTTGAATGAGTCCTTTAAAGGACGGAAAAATTAGTTTAACGGGACAAGTAGGTGAACCCTATTGTGGATATGATCTTAGCCAATCATGATTTTGGTTATCAATACTCATATGAGTTAGGATATGAGGACGGCTGGTAACTGTGGCGCTCATACAGATTGGGGTATGGAAACGATCGATTTTTATAATGCTCATATGGACTAGACTATGAGGACGATCAATGATTATGACCCCCACATGGGTTAGAGTATAAGGATGATAGATTTTTATGACGCTCATATAGATTGGGCTATGAGAACAGTTAATGATGGTAGCATTCATGTAGATTGGAGAATGAGAATACCGACTGTTATTTTGTATTCACAAGTAGAATGGATCTTTGTGGGCCCTTAATAATAATGGTCAATGGTATCGTGTGATAAATTATAAAAAATAAATAAAATTCTAATTATAAGGCAAGATTGTAAATGATGAATGATTTGATTTGATTGAAATGTATGACTTCAGAAATATGAATGTGCTCTTACGACTATTGTTAATAAAAATAAAAATGTTATTTAGTGCGTATGAGAAAAATGAAAGGGATTTTTAAATTAAAAACTAATATTATTAAAATTATATTCCATTTCCATCAATAATTTTATTATTTTTTACAATGCTTTAATAAATTATTACAGTTTTTATTATTATATTTTTAATGAACTAGTATAACTTTTCTCATTCATTATTTATTTTTTTTAAATCAAAATTTTTAAGATTTCGCTCCTAAGTAGTTAAGGATTTACTAAAAAAATTTCTATTTTGTTTTAGAAAGAACCTAAGAATTAATTATTTCTTTATTTGTTGGCACTTATTTTAATATTTTTAAAATTTTGTTATTCATAGTTGTCTCATGATTTGATATTTAACTTATGAAAATACATGCAAGGAATGTTTATGAAAATATTTATTTAATTTGATGCGCTTATTTAAATATTTTTCTTTGATTCCATCAGTTGGTAATCACGTTTGTGCATTCAAATCTTAAAAAGAGGCGGAATGTTGCAGCTAATAGTTAAAATATTTATATTTTTAAAATAAAAATTCATAATAAATTGTAAAAGAAATGTATAAATTCATTTTTTTCAAACACAAAATAAAAATAAAAATAAATGTTTATTACAAAAAACTAAAAAAAACCGTGATCTTACATTTCATTTCCAAAAAAAGGGCGAAAACTCACCGTTTTGTGTGACGTCAGCGCCAAAGTTGTCCATGTATCTCTAGGGTTTATACCAGCGCACAGGTCTTTGGCATCGAAGTATAAGAGGTCGGACTTAAATCCGCTCAAAACCGACGGAGATTTAGAGAAGACGAAGAGAAAGAGGAGGGATATGGGTTCCAGAGATAAGGACCAAAAAGCACGGCATCACCAGCCTCACATCAGCAGCCTCGTGATACGTCCAACAGTCAGCGACGGACCAGACGGAGGCGGGGGCGGGGGCCGCGGTGGAGGCGGTAGCGACTATGAGCCCGGAGAGGTCCGACGCGATCTGCATCCTTATTCTCGCGCCGAGCGCTACCATGATGATCCTGGTTCGTTACCTTTTCTTTTTCTCTCCTTTTTTTTAGTTTGTTCTGCTTGCTGCTTGACTATGGTTTCTTTATCCCACTGTGCTTGCATTAGATTTATCAAGCGTTTTCTCATTTAGATCACCATGTCCTTGTCTGCATGGAGTGTGTGAATTATCGAGTTTGAAACCCTATATCGGAGGGGTGATGTTGTGCTGCGTAATGAAGTCTTTATTGCCATAATTGTTTTGTTGTTGTTTTGGGTGGCTGAAAATCTCGTCGATATTGATTTGAAAGTTTTTTACCCCACTGATTAACTGATAGCGTACTGCTTTCAAATATGACTCTTATTATATGCTGGAGCTGGACATTGGAGGTCTATTGATCCACAAAAAGTGAAGTTATTTGAAGGATCAACAGAAATACATATAACTTGTTTTGAAAAAGGGCATAGATCATTCGAGGCTCATGGGATGTTAGTAGAGTTGATTTACTACTTGGAGGCCTAATCGTATCACCTAACAAGATTAGGCTTATTTTACTGGATATAAGTTTTTAAAAATTTTATGTTAACTAGTTGGTCCCTTTTCTTGGTATTTTATTAATTGAGCATCAGATCAAATTTGCTCATAAGCTTGAGTGGTTTCTGCTGGTAAATGACAATGAAAAATGAAAATAAAAACACAAAATCTTTTTAAATATTTATGGTTGATCCAATCCTGATAATTGGATTTTTAGCTTCAGATGTGGTGGGAGAAATAATGGAACAGTTTCTTTTGTATTTGCCCATGTGAACCAATAGACTTTATAGAGTAGAAAATTTTCTTAAATGGATGATAATTTCAGTTTTGTTGTATTTTTTTTTTGTTTTTCAGTTATAGTCCTTCATTTGGTGTTTCTTTGCTGTAGTTTTTTAATGTACACAATGCAAACCTCCCCCATCATTATTTGCTGTGCTTGAATAAAACAACTCGATAGATATTTCTGTCAAATCGAATAAGAGATTATATGAATTCACTGCCGTTGGGGAAAAGACCAAAGAAGTTACTTTTTATGATTTTTGAACCACTCTCTTTCATGTAGTATAATTGGAAGGTGTTGATATCTGGAACTTGTGTTTTTATTTTCTTTTTGTTAGCATGGTTCTCTCTGATATTTTTGTGAGTGTTGCATTGTTGTTAAAGGTAAGAATCAGTTA